AAAAAAAAAAAAAAAAAAAAAGGTAGGATCCTTGCTTAAAATCGTGGTGCAAAGTAGTGGGGTTGACTATCACTTTTGCAGTGATTGTTACTAAGTGAAACGCATTATGAATAATACGGCATGTGTTCTTGCAAAAATTGAAGTTGTGGTTCGCACTACTATGTGTATATACATATATCCGCTTATCGTATGTTCCTTGGAAAGTTTGAATCTCAAAGTTCATCTCTGATTGTTATCATCAATCTTGTTTAAGTTGATAAGGAAAAGATTTTTTGGATCTAGTGAATTTTATGTGTGATTTTTTTTTTTTTTCATAATAGGCATATATTGCATAAGATTTCCTTCTCTGATTGAATTACTTGGGCATTAAAAATTTGTGAGGGAATTTATTTTTGGATGATAAAATCTTATTCTTCCTAATTTTGAATTAGTTGGACACATGTGTTAGTGGGTTAATGGGTTTGTGTGTTCAGTTTTGATGGGAATGTTCTTACTGCATAGTATCCAACCTTTCCCTTGATTTTTAAACCTTACCCATTACATCCTGACATTTTTCATTCATTTCGTCCTCACTATATATCTTCACTTTCAGAACCTGAGAACCTCTTTTTTATTTCTCTTTCTTTATGAATTATTCGTTTAACCATTTGTGTTCTTGCATCATTTTCCAATGTGCTTCTGAAACACTTTGGCTGATGGCAAAGGCCTGGAGAAGAGATGGACATCATACCAGCGGTTAAAGATCAGTTCAAGCAACGTCTTTTATCTTCGGCATTTTGATGTTCTTACTGAGGGGGAGATTTGCCTTTGGCATTTCAGTCTAAAAAGGGGGAGAAATAGGATGTTTCTGAAGATGTTCGGGATTATGTTCTAGTTGTTTGCTTCTGATTACTTGTGGTTGCTGTTTTTGACATGTTTCTACAGGATGTAAGAACATGAATTGCCGTTTGATTGTTTTGTCCATTCTGACAGGGGGAAGTGAATTGATCACTCTATTTGACTTAGGTTCTGATAGCTTGATGTGTTTTGATTGCTTTGATCATAGTCCTCATAGTTGTTTTGATAGGAACTGTTATGATGTTCTTACATCGCAGGTGTTT